ATTGCAGAAGTAGACCCATAATCTATTTGTCTGCAACAAATGTACCTTATAAAATGATAGTATAAACAAGTTTGTTGCACTCTACATTGCAGAAGAAAACCTCTATTCCATTTCTGCAACATTGTGAGCAACAGCTACACGATTTGTCCGGGGCCTTGAAACCTTTAGTTGGGCAGCGGTGCAGTTCACACTAGTCCTTTGAAACATTTTTTGAATTAATTTCAGTGTCCATTTCGATGTATTATGACGAAGAACACAGTAAACTCTTCACAGCCTTCAATCAACAGGTAAAATCACGACAGAAACAAAACTCATAGGTAGATGTTTACTTGTACATAGCAGTGAATTATCATATTTTTTGGGGGGGAGGGGGGGTTCAAGGGTGGTGTTACTGCACCAAACTCTTCTCTCACCTCTGTGGTCTCAGGCTGGATTCCCTGGACTTGTCATCACGTGTGAGCAGAGTTTATTAGGTCTCTTCTTTGATTCGAGGGTTTTTTTCTGCGAGACCTCCAGTTTTCTTCCAGCTGCATTTAACCGAACACGCTAAAACTTATTATTCGTGACTTTGATCAGCCCAGAGGTTGTATCGATAACAAGACATTATGTTGACTTACATTGTAGCTGACGTTAATGGTGATGAAACCAGAAGTGAAAGATCGTGTAATGAGTCATGAACAGCCAGTTACTGCAGCTATTTACAACAGTAAATTTAACCAGGTGAATATTAAACTCTACAGACTGAGTGACGCATGGTTCATGTTAATGCGTAATGTAGTGCGCAATGATTTTCTTTCTTTTTTTTTTTCTTTTTTCTTTTTTTTTTTTGCAAAAATTCAGGCCCTCTTTTATCAATTCCCAAATATACCCATGCTGCACTGCTCCATAATTTATGTTAGTAAAAATACGCAGGTGATTATAGAAATTCTTGCGCGCTGATTGGTCAAGAAACTCACACTATCACACGATAATCACCTCGAGCGAAAATCCAAAATGGCGGCTAGCCGCTTTGTTGCTGTTTTCTTCTTTTTTTGAAAGAATCACCTGTGTATTTATACTAAAACAATTATTTGCCTCAGCCTCAGTGAATGTCGGGGAATATTTACCTCGCCGCTCGAAGACTCGCGTCTTGGTAAATATTCCCCAATAATCACTTGGCCTTCGGCGAATAATTGTTAAATAATCCTTGAGGTTACGTGGATAACTTTGCGCCTCTGATTACAGGCACCGTAACGGTACAGATTTGACGCGAACATTCGTTCAGTCGTGCTGTAACACGACGCAGTCATTCTCWTGTCACCGCACTTCAGCTCACGTTCTCCCCGATTAGCAGGGCACCTGTGGTGGGCTATAAGTTTAGAGATTATCACACCACGTATGTTTTCGCATTGGGAAATAATATAACTGTGATTCTCTCGAATCCTCTGGTAAAACTGCGTCAGGAAGACCATGAATAAGTGAAATAATTCGGTTGTCACCCTGTGTGAATGTCTCAACATTATCGTTTGTCCATCAGGTGGTAACAGGATGTGCAGGATCAGTGATTACAATGTGGATGATCGATACAGGACAGAAAGTCAAGCAGGTCAGTCAGCTATTTCATGTCCAGCTTATCATCTCCTATCATGTTAGCATTGTTATTTAGTCTGTGTCTTGACTACCTGCAGAGCCGGTATTTGCGCTGCACAAACCATGCTTAAATAATGCATGTTTGATACTTCATGTACGATGCATTTGTGATGTGGTCCTTTTATTCTGAAAACAATATCATTTAAGTACTCTTTGTGTACCAGTAAATTAACTATCTCCAAATGCCTTGACATCAGCACGAACGTGCCTATGTATGGGGATGAGAAGTCTTTGCGCATTATAAATTATCACTATATTTGGTATTTAATCTCAATATAGTGCATAACAAAAATAACTACAGCAACAGGAATGATGTCCCTGCAGTGCGTAGCCTAATCCTATGAAAAACATCTCATCAAACATTTACTCTCATTTTGACTCTAGATTTTCCGGACTTTTCTTTATCAACACTTACGGTTCTTCACATTCCTAACATTATCTTTGCTGTTTCAGTTTGCAAACGCTCATGGGAATTCAGAGATCACCACGCTTACTCAGGATGCAACAGAGACTCGTTTATTCACTGCAAGTGCTGATGGGACTGTTAAGGTAACAGTTTTTCCAGCACAGTTTATTTCATTGGTAATCGTTAAAAATCTTTAAAATTGTCAAATATTTGGAATCGAATTAATTTCATTGGGTTACCTGTGGTTTTCTTGGATCGAAATGACGTCAGTACTAATGAATAGAATTTCTTTTCTCAATATTTTTTCAGATCTGGGACTTCAATGGTCATTGTCACAACATACTAATGGCAGGGAATGGTGACCCAGCAGAGATCAGTCAAGTATTATGTCTGAAGAGAATGATCATTGCGGTTGGTTGGGACAGGTAGGGCCTATATAGCCTCTCTTCGTTTGTTGGTCTGCCTGTGGTATTTATATAGCGTAAGAGAGAAGCGTTGTCCACCAATCACGGAATAAGGGCTAAGCTAGAAATATACCAAAACTACGCCATTTCTATGGATACATTACAGGCCACGATGTGCGCAATTTGGTTTTTGTTTGAAAAGATTCACTTTTGGAAATTTCGAGAAAAATAGCACGTTTATGTCGGCTTTCAACGCCGCCACGTTTGTTGTTTTGACCACACTCGCGTGTTTTCCCGCCAAAACCACCACAGGGAGACCAATATTAAAAGGGTGATTACAGTAAAAGTTTTCTAAAACAAGATAGTCTTTGATTAGTCGTGAATTTTCTAAGGTACCAGTCTAGTGTATATATTTCTCAGACGGAGAAGAGTAATCAAAATCAGAGAAAAACTTCAAAAAAAATTTGTTTACATTGGGTCATATCCAGCGACAGATAATTCGTAATTTGAATGTTTTGACCATTCGTTTTTCAGGGCGTTGTGTGTATTTCGTGATAGTCAAATGAATACCTTTTACGTGTATCCTTCTGATTGGAAGGGACGACAGGTGAGTACATCCTTTAGCTAAATCATTTGAGGGTCATTCCTTTATACATATTCTTAATGAATTCTGAGCCCCATCTCAGGCAGGACGCCTACTCTCTTTCTTTTACGCATGCGCTTAGACATTGTGCCGCTGAACATACATACAGAATGCCTACGTAAGATGTTCTAATTTCTCGATAACTTCCACAGGAGCATCAAGACGATGTCTTGTCAGTAGCGTACGGCCCGCCATCATGTCTTGCCACGGCCAGTTATGACGGAGAGATTGTAATCTGGAACCTGAACTCCGAGCAGGCTTCACGGCATCTTACGTCACATCCGGAAAGAAAAAGAACCAGGTCCTCACGGCGGAATAGGAAAGCGGTTAGTTCTAGGACTGGGGTGCGGTAAAACTGCATTGGGTAAAGCTCGTATTTCGAGAGCTTATGTCTTAAAGTCCCCTTCGATTCTCATTTGGCAATGATTGCAAATTGCAATGCATATTATTTTCTTACATAAGTATTAGATCTAGTAAGAGGTCCTTTGTCTATCCCTGGAACGTATTCAGAATCAGGATGATTTCCAGTTAAGAGGTGTGGGGAGGGGGGTCTCTCATAACAGTCAAACTGTAAATGTAAAAAGGGGGATACAAGCACCCATGGTTCCCTAAAGCCTCCCCTTTCCTCTCTTCGAATTTAAAGAACATGTAGCTCGCCTCTATTAGTGGGGTAATATCTAGTTATTATTGAACGTTATATAAGCGCAGCATAACTTAATATTTATTAACGACAGAAAACTGTCAATATTTATTATCCACAGAAAACTCTTATTCTAACCTCAATTTTTTTTAAAACTTGGATTATCGTAGGGAGGTACCAGTCCTGCCGCGACAAATAAAGTCGATGAGTTCCTGAGACCAAATCAATCAGCTGAGAGAAATGGTTCCGCCTCGTCAGATCGGAGCTCTAGAGAAAAGAATGACAAGGTAAAAAAATGTCATATTTTAATAACATTGTTCATTTTTTTACTGGTACTGTAATTTGATAATAGGCTGAAAATAAGTTTCTAATGTTTGTAGGAGTCGGATGGTGGATACGCCGTAACGAAGTTGCTGTTTTTAAATGCAAGACCGCAGACCGGGTTATCTGGCGGCGCAAATCTTGTTTCTTGTAGCGGGAATGGATGGGTAAGAAAGAAATAATTAAAATGTGATTTGTTCATTTTTTTTTTTTTTTCAATTTGAATATCAGAATTCGTGTTTGCAAGATTCTGTGTTATTTTGTAGATTCGTTTTTGGAACCAGCATGAGTCGACATTCCTGGGAGAATTTCTTGCCCATCAGCATGGTATGTTAGTTAACGGTTAAAATGAACCTGATAAAACGACCGCATGCTACGTACTGTTAGGAGGTCATAGTTAAAAATGAGCCTGATGATACGACCACATTAATATCTACGACCAGGTTGCTAACACGACCGCATGCTATATATTGTTAGGAGGTCATAGTTCAAAATGAACCTGATGATACGACCACATTAATATTTACGTACAGGTTGCTAACACGATCGCATGCTACATACTGTCGGGTCATAGTTCAAAATGAACCTGATAATACGACCACATTAATATCTACGACCAGGTTGCTAAAACGACCGCATGTTACATACTGTCAGATCATAGTTCAAAATGAACCTGATGATACGACCACATTAATATCTACGACCAGGCTGCGAACACGACCACTCTGTTACACACTTTAAGGTCATGGTTAAAAATGAACCTGATGACACGACCAGGCCGCGCTAATGCCCAAAGCTTACGAACGAGACCACACCAGTAAATGGATCCCTCCACCATAAGTACAAACCACAACCTAAATAGAATAGATTTCGTTTGACTGTGAAAGAATATAACGGTCACGTTATAAAGATTTGACAACATCTTTTGAGCCAATCACASCGAACGATCACTGGTCTTTTACTGAAAGTGCTCGTACGCTCCACGGTGATGATAACGGCAAGGCGCGGCACGGCACGTACATAACGAGGATTTGTTCACAGTCATAGCGAATTTAGGGATTAACCTGATAATACAAGCGCGCTTACGACCACGCTGGAATATAGTACGACCATTGTAATTAATCCCGTTTAACATTACTTCTAGCGGGTTCTCTAACCATGTGTATAGATGATACCAATACGTACCTCGTGACTGGTGATGCTGATGGTGTTGTGAAGGTCTGGGATATTTCAGAGTACTGTGTGACCGCCGACTACGTGCGAACCGATCCTCCACGTAAGTATATATACCTTTATATCTCCCTTCTTCACGACCCCTATCCCTTCATTACTTTTTAGCATTTATCTTATTGTTTTTACTTGGGCTACCTGTGGTAGTAGTCTTATAATGATCAGAAACAGTAAAAAAAGTAAAATGTAAAGCCAATATTTTACTTTGATAACGCGGGAAGTGGTTGTCCAGTTCTCGACTAAGCCAGGGACTCGTGTATAAATCAATCGAAGGTGCGCACTTTACCCTCTCAGTCTATCAGTGCTCCTTAGTATCTAGCTCTGAGGACCGCGCACTAACCAACTGGGCCCGGTTGTACGAAGCCTGGATAGCGCTATCCAGGCTTCGTACAACCGGGCCCTGAGCTACGCCTGCTCCTAATACCATAATATACCTTATTTAAGATAGCGAACTTGGTGCAATATAGTCTAACTTGTTCGTATATGGTGTTGTTTGTATCAAAGGTAGGCCAAAATGCACCTTGTCTTTCGCACTCAAAAAAGGCTATGTCTATACACGACACGTCCGCACCGTCATAGAATCTCCTCTGTATAATGTAACCAAAATTAATGTGTTGTAATCGTAGCACTACTAAAGCAGTTCCAGCCACATACTGACATCATCAACCACATCGAACTGCTGACCAGAAGTGAACGACTGCTCGTACTTACAGCATCTAGTGATTGTTCTGCAGCATTATGGGATATTGAGGGACGACACATCGGGGACTTTGGACAGGCTAGTATTTCTTCGCGAATTCTTTAAGAATATTCATCTTTCTAGGGAGTGGGAGGGAGATGAAAGCAGATTGAATCAGATTGAATGGTAGATGTAGAGGAAACCTGATTATTGGAAAGTATAGTTGAGCTTATCTTGAACCCTCTTTTATACAGGAAGAGCATTGGAAAATCGAGCCGATCTCGAAAGAAGAAAGAGAAGCAGAAATGCAACGGCAAGCAGAGGTGAGATTCACTTCATTGACCGTCAAAATACGCGGCATTACCCTTAGAAGAGAAACTCATAGACTTCCGGCATCCGCATCGCTCGGGCCCAACCAAGGTGCATTGGCGTATGCCTTTTCTGGCTTTAGTCCCGTCGTTCCGGTCGGTTGTCTACTGCGGTGGACTGCATACAGTGCGCGGCTTCTGCAGTCACTTTGATCTCACACCCCGGCGGCCACATAGTCGTTTTTTTAATTTTTTTCAAAGAGTTTATTTATTCCTTTGTTGTTCTGTGTTAGGACGTTGCTGAGAAAAGTGAGGAAGAAGAAGAAGAAGATCAAGAAGAGGAGGAAGACCAAGAAATACAATACTACACTGATGAAAAATTTGATCCTCAATATCGAATGACTACCTGGGAGAAAACTATATTAGGTTAGAAAAATATCCATCCATCCTTTCTCATTCCGTGCCTTTTACCTATCCCATCCTTTAATCACATAACAACTACTATCTATTCTATTGCATCCTATCCATCCATCTGATCAAATCCCATCTATCGATAAACGCATCACATACCATTCATTTTAATATCCCATCTTTCCATCACTCAACAACCTTACATCACATCTCATTCATCCATCTATCCCATCCACCCACTTCAACTGTCAATCCATCAACCCCATATATCTACCATAATCCATTTATTCATCCATTCGTCCGTCCGTCCATCTTTCTGTCCTTTCTATCCATTCACTCATCTATTCCATCCCATCCATTTTTTCCGCCACCATGTAACACCTTACACAATCAATTATTGGAATTTAATCTTATTCTCACTAGGAAAATCATACAAAGAAGAACGAGGTAGCAAACGTGAACGTCGTCAACCAATGACCATCCCTAACCTACCATACCTGACATGGGAGAAAACAGGACAGGCTCCTGCCGGACCCTATGCGGTAAGACCATATGTAACCATATATCGGGTACTCCCACCCTCTTATACGGTAAGCCATGCAACGATGTACGGGCAAATCTCCTGCCATACCCTATGCGGCAAAACCATATATAACCATATACTGGGTACCCCTATCCCCTGCAGTATGAAAGCATTGCCGTTCCCAGGGGGAAATAGTTTCTCAGTAAGGTATAGAATACCCTTGTACAGCAAGCCATACATTACAGCATACGAAGAAACCTCTTTCTATCAACCATTTTTTCAGCGGGTTTTTACGTATTTTCCTTCATTAGGCCCTCGAAACAAAAGATCTTGACGACGTTGGTACCATACACAAACCAGATTTTATCGTTAACCCCGAGAAATATTTCAGCGAAAGAAAGTCCGCTGGCTCGAAAGGACGATCACTGCCGCCATTACCCTCTATCACTGAACGTAAGTAAAACTGTCATTCCACTTGATGATAGTGATTTTACTTGGCCCGTGAAGGTAGCCCAATAAAAACTTTTGGACTCAGTCAAAACTAAATGAAAGATGGATAAACTTTTTGGTAAATGAAATTGGCACATCATAAAATCTACTCTGAACAAGACTCTGTAACAGATATGTCATATGTTACATTATCAAGGAAAAAAACTTGGTAGTGGCTATATTCTATGCGCAGAAAAATACTAATTACAGAAAAATATTAATTACCGAAAAAACTTCACGTTTTTGAAAAAAAATTAAATGAAAAAATTAAAATTATAACATAATTAACCAGGGTAAAATGAAGCCTTTTTATGTCGAGTTTTATATTATATTTTATTAATAATTGATAAATATAATCTGTAATAATATAATAACAAGATAATGATAAATTACAGGTCGAAAGGCTAAACACCGGAATTAAGCGTTGAATGCGTGAGTAAAACAAGCACAGAAATAGCACGCACCTTAGCACTATGATTTCAATAATCGACTTGAACTTTAAACATTTTTATATATCTTTCCTTATCAAGTATACCTTTCAGTTTACAGAAATATTTCTTATTTAAAAAAAAACATCGCATCTGCGATTAAATTTTGAAGGTCGTAAAATATAAAAATTCACCATTTTCCATACATCGGTTTACTGGTCAAATACAAAGCATTCAGTCGAGGTTGCAAGGTTCAAATTTGAATCAATCCTTTGAAAATACCTTGGCACCTCGCTTGAGTGCATTGTGTTTGACCAGTGAACCAATGTATGGAAAATGGTGAATTCGTAAAGATATGTCATTTCATCAAATTAAAATAAATCCAAAACTTAAACTATTTATTATTTATGAAAGGAGAAGTAAACTGAACAAAGAGACTCTTATTAAATAAAAATTAATAATGAATTCTATATGATCTAATAAAATATATGATCTAATGAAGCGCATTAGATCATATATTTTAATGAATTTTTGCGCTATATAAGTAGTAAAATTATTAAAATTAGTAATTCTTGGATTTTATAAAGTTAAATTTCTAATTTTGTATTTTCGGACCAAATGCCATCGACATTTCTTTTTATTGTGGGATGAAACGCTTGATTTTTCAGCATCCTCTGATAGGGAGTTCCCCAGGGTTCATCTATTGCACCGCACAATTGCACATGGTTTTGAAGATTTATCATTACGTTTTTATCATCACACCCTTTTGTTGAAGCATCAAGGGTATCTAGTCAATAACGTGTTAATGCCCTTTTTCGTCCCTTTTCAATTATAATCGGATTAAGAAGAAAATAATACTTAAGGGAAGGTATCCTGAACATGGGAAAAGTTTATGCTYACATCTTCAAATCTTTAGTTTTTACAGTGTGAAATGTGGGAAATCATAATTAACGCATGCGCACTTACGTTTGGATAAGTCATGTAGCTTATTTTAATACTTTATGCTTTTTAAGGTCTTCAAATGCGGTACGATGAGAAAAGCCTGTTTCCTAAGTCTATTCTCGACATGGAATCCAAAATGAGGACCACGCATTTACTTGGAATGCGGGTGTCACGTGCTAGCCGGCGTATAGATCCTCCACGAATTCGCGTACAAGAAGCAAGTACTCATTCAAGAAGATCATCCAACTGGAACAAGGTGATAATGAAGAGAACTAAAAACGATGATGACTAGGCTAGTACAGGTAATGGTGTCAGAAAACACGTTCTGTTGAAGAACAAAGAAGGGCCGGCAAGCCACATTGGTTTAATGGTATATCATTTTGATATATGTGGTAAACTAGACATCGAATGTTCGATGGGGTAACCTTTTTTCATCCTGTAGTTCTGCTGCACAGCATCGTTGAGTGTATACTGTACACTGCACATGTAAATGCCATTGCCTTGTCCCTAAGGTTATAATTATAAAATGTATATGGCATAAAGTGGTTGGTATGGTGACTGTAATGGTCCAGTCAGGTCATGGTGTGTAAGATGTCAGTTAGAGTGGTAGCTATGTACATGTATATGACTGTTTTTGCGGTTTGTTTGATGCGGTTGGTTGTTCATGGTAAATTGTTGGCTTGCAAGAGATTTCATACGAGTGCGAAACCAACGGCAACGCCTCTTAAAATGGTTGCGCTCTGACCATTGATATGGTAGGAGCCAATCAGAAACAGGATTTGTATCAGACCGGTGTTTTATTTAGTACACTAAAATCACTAGTCCTATATCGCCATGGTGTGCTAGTTTCTAATGTACATAGATTTCATTAATATCTTCAGGATAATATTTGTAATTTATTGTAAAAAATAACAGAATCTATTTTTTTGCTAACTGAAACTGTATACCTCTTTAAATGCAATGTGCTTGTTCGGGTGGACTCCATGTCTTCTCTGCCAAAACTGCACGAGAAGCCTGGGACCTGGGGTGAAATATTTGCCATACGGCAGTCTTAATATATTCTACGGTAATAATTTAATTAATATCCATTTTATACATCATTATAGTTTGGTGTATGAGAACAGAAACAATTTATATATTTTTCACTTTTGCATTTGCATTGCATTGCATTTCTTTTTCTTTTTCTTTATGCGTATATAATTTACAACTCTAATGTTTTGACGCCTTTTCCAAAGCTCGGCACTCGTTTCAAGGTTTCCTCTTATTGTTTGTCTCACAGGAGACTGGTAACCAGGATATCTTTAGCGATTTAAAATATATCTCTTTTACAATCGTCCAATAATATAATTCTCGTGTTTTCTTATAACAGACTTGTGTGGCTTTGAAACTTTATCTGCGACATCTTAAAACAGGCCAGTGGTTTAGGAGAAATTATGAGATGTACATCCGGGATAGTCAAATACTTACGATAATCAATCACCATATTTGGTCGTAATAGTCCTATTGGCTATTTTAGATCGTAATGGCCCTATTTGGTGGTAGTAATTGACCATTTAATTCGTAATAACCATATTTGGTTATGTCGTCTAATTTTTAGTTTTAATACTACCAAATGCAAACCTTCAGGTTAAATTGAGGTGGACTGGGGCACAATTGGCAGTCCTTGTTGGTTTTCATGTGACGTCATGAATGACATGTTTTTAGCCAACAAGGCGGACATGTATGTTCTAGCTTGTTCCTCTTGGAAAGAATAGCAAAGCACCTATATTTATATATTTTCTCTCTCGAATTGGCATCGATTAAAGTATAACAAATCGATGTTAGTTCGTAAGGCTATCGGAAGGTAAATAACCGATTAACGTAAATATTCACGGTCTGTTTGGAGGTGTTATGTACATCAACAAATGTTTCCTTCGAGCTGTCTGATTTACATAGTTCACTTAAGAACACGACAGTTTACTGTTAGGCCTTAACCTGCGTCTGTTACCCCTTAAAATATTCGAAACTGTTTTCCGTCTTTCTAACCAAAGCCCTTCATGCTGTTGTCCGTACATTGGCATCAGTTTCCAGAGAAGGCTTCCCTTCACCCGCAGTTAAAACTTCAAGTTTTTTTTTTTTGCTGACTAGATTGTGACGATGCTTGACTATTTCGTGCGAAGCCTTGAATTTCGTCTGTGCTGTCATCAATGAGCTCCTTGTTACTTGTGTTTGCTGAACGCGGAACCGTGTTGGTGCAAGGGCAACTATCTTGTAGTGAGAGCGTCTCGTTGGCGGCAAAAATTGAAGATTGTTTTGAAGAATTTKATACGACTGATGTTCTTGGCAATGTTCTTTCTATTTAAAGTTGAAAAAAAAAACAGTGATGAGGAGAATTATCAGAGAGGAGTTATGGGCACCTGTAGTTAAGGCATCGCGGATCATTGACAATAGAGAATGCTTCAAGATTTTGCTGCGTTCAATGCAATAGAATGGTTTACTTCAAGAGTACTGGACGGAAGAAAGACAGACGGACAAACATGTGACTGACTATACAATTTACCTGATTTCTGCGTGTCATTTAGTCCCCGGAATATGTGCTTTGCCTTGAACGTTCTGGAAAGAAGACAGGAATTAATGCAGTTTAGGAAAATCCTTCGTTGCGCAATGTCAGTGAAAATCTACATAGAGTCGTGGGGTATGGCAGAAACGGAAATGTGTCCATGTCTGTACCGTCATAAGTTGGTTACCAGAAAACAGAAGCAAAGGGACATATTATGGGTTATAATTATACAGTCTGATGTCATGCAAAAACTGTTCTTTTCTCTTCAAGATTAGTCCTCAAAGTAAGCCTGGATGAAATACGCTGGCATGTGAAATATAAAATACCATAAATCGCGATACGACCGGCTTTTAAGCAACGTGGGTAGGGCGCTAGAGGGAAGTGGCAGCGGGGACTAGGGAGGAAGACCCTCTATAGTGACAAGATACAACTACTCTTGTAAATATCTCGTTTCAAAATAATGATCTTAATCAACATTATAAGGACGTCTTGTATCGTCGACGATGACAGAAAACCGGGGTTCTGACGCACATCTTGCCTTACTCTCGGTTAAACTGAGGATTATCTTGAAGAAGAAAAATGTGCAGTGCGCCATGTGCGATGAAAGACCTCGGAGAATATTGATTTCTTTGTGAATGAATTGCGCATTTTTGCTTTGTTCATGCGCACAAAGGTGAACTACACACTAAACACAGATTGGCATGACTGACAACTCATTAGTTTACGTACAAAGACGCACAAGACGAAACAAGCAGAAGATTACTCTTGTTAATGAATAGTTCTAGCGCTTTAGAAATGATCTTAGGGTATTTTACTACCACATCAAGTTGCACAGAATCAGTAGAATCAAGTGGCATTGTTCACAAAACATAAAAGCTAAGGCCTTTGAGTTTTCTGATTCATGGACCCCTTCCAAGTAGCAACCATGTTTCTTCCCATGAGAATAAAAGTCTTTCCTTAAACCCGCGTAAACTCTTTCTAAAACTTTTGAGAAGCTACACTGAGGCGCCGGTTATAAAATTTTGTGTTTCAGTGAACATTGCTGCCATCCTCGGGAACCCAGCGGTAAAGTTTTGTCGCTCGAGAAAAGAGTGACAAAATTTTGACATGACATCGCTGCATGCTGCTTGAAAAAGGTCCATTGACATTTCTTGGATTTTCCCCATTTTTTTCCCCCAATAAGGATTTAGAAAGCTGCTGTCTCGTTTTCCCTAAAATCGCTATCGTTTCCAGCTTCCATATTAAATCATTCTGAAACTAGACCACGATTCTTTGACCTCTAAAGACTCACATTATCTTGACACTGCAAGCATTATGGATTAGAAGCACAAGCTGCTTTTCTTTAAACAATGAAGAAACATAACACTAAGGAGTGAGAAGATTAGACTTACTCTTGATTTGAAGAACAAAATATTAAGTTGATCAAGAGAACCATAATGATGGTTCCCAGTAGCGAAGCAGCAAAGATTAGAATGATTGTCGTTACGCGTTCGTCCTTTCTTAATAATTCCGCGCGCGATTCGTCTTTCTGCGGGACGAAAAGAAACAAATATTAGAGCTTGTTATTGTCATTAATTGTTATTAGTAAAAATACGCAGGTATGATTATTGAAAATCTCGCGCGCTGATTGGTCGAGAAACTAACACTATCACACGATAATCACCTCCAGCGATAATCCAAAATGGCGGCTAGCCGCTTCGTTGCTGTTACCGGAAAAAGTCTTTTACTTTTTTTTTTTTTTTGAAAGAATCACCTGTGTATTTATACTAAAACAATTATTTGCCTCAGCCTCAGTGAATATGAATATAGGGGAATATTTACCTCACAGCTCGAAAACTCGCGTCTTGGTAAATATTCGTCGATATTCACTTCGACTTCGGCGAATAATTGTTAAATAATGCTGTTATTAATGATAGATTAGTGATGAGCTTTTGTATACTTCATTCCGCGCGGCACTAGTGAAATCAATAGAGACCTCTTTACCTTAGGCGTAATGTTTTCCCATTTTAGATCATGTATCATTCTCCTCAGAATAAGATTCTTTATTTGAATGGTATCCATATTAATGTGTCTTGTCATGCGCGGCCGTTAAACAAAGAAATTATACTCTTGGGAATGACACGTGGTCTGAAATAGAAAAACATTACGCCCAAGCTGAAAAGGTCTATTGTGTTTCATGGCAACTCTTCTCGAATTCACCCAAAGATACAATCGCCAAGTTTTTGACACGTGTGTGTTTAAATCAATGATTACCGTGACCTATGGAGTGGCATGGCTCATATATAATTTTCTCCGCCTTCCTCCCTCGTTGATTGATTAATTAATCGTGTACAAAATTCAAGGTTGTTTTTTCTTGACGTCATATTCAACAAAAACACTCTTTGAGCATGAAGCCTGTAGAATGATGATGCCTTATTGTTAAATACATATTCAACTTGCCTACCATTTTGCAACCCGACATAGAATTGCTTTGCGGAAGAGGCGCTCTATTAAGAGTGCGTACAAATGACAATTTTCTTACTTTCTTATTGGTAACCGGACGTCTCGGCTTTCCTCTCATATTCGGTAGGTTAGACCCTTTCACTGAAGGCGGCGGCTGAGAAGATACTGAAAATGATGACAAACCTTTCTCTCCTTTCTTATTTTTTCGAATTTTTTCTCTGTATTCTCGTCGTTTTCGGAAAAAACCTGAAATGTAAAAAATATTCTGTCGTAAAATTATTAAGAAACTAGACAGATATTTGCGCGCGTTTTTACAGAGTGGCCCTATAGCCGATCTCAGAGGAACTCCAACTGACTTTGGGAAAAAATTACTAGGTAATTATATATCAATACAAGATTTAAAAGATCTTTGACACTTGAAAAGGCTTCGCAAATCAGCGAAACCAAAGTGGCCCAAAAACTGATCTCTGGGGAACTCCGCCACTTATTCAGTGCAAAAATTACAAAAAACATCGATATTGATTATATATGACTATTTAAAGTCTATAAGGGAAAAGGGAAAACAAATCTAGATGCTTATAGCTTAATAGCTTATGAAAAATAGCTTAAATCTCTGAAATCTTGTTTCAAAGGATGTTCGACTTACAGTTTTGATTCCCTCTAATCTTGAGTAAGAGACAAGGTTTGCCACCAAACGGTGTACAAGTTAAGCTTATTTTAATCATCTTTCCGGAAACAAATGAATTCTTTCTAACCTGAAACAAAAGATAATGACAATAAACGTAATCAATAGCAACAGAAATGGAAAATAACAGTCGCGGTCGACGTGGAATTAAAAGCGAGCTTTTTTTAGCCTGCGTAGCCAGGTGTTCTTTGTGGGTTTTTTGGGGGGGGGGGCTTGGGGAGGAGAGAAGAGGAGAGAGGGAACGCCTGCCAGCAGACCTTATGATTTTGAAAAACCCGTTCGCCCACGAACGGGCACTTCTGAAAATTTTTAAATTTAGTCCCTAGTAATTCTTCTAACCAGAGCTTCGGGAGTAATTATTTGTCAGCGGCAGCTGATATGTTTGTTTGCATCTGCCGTTCAACATTGTGGACATTCATCACATGACCTATTTGTCCATATTAGGACAGATTTTTATTGGTGTAATATGGGGTTTCCTTCAGGGTTTGTGCAGGTCCTTAAACTCCTTGAAAAGTGCATGAATTTAAAATGCATTTTCAAGGGCACTTGAAACTCCTTGAAAAATGGAAAAACGTAGAAAAGTCCTTGAAAAAGTATCGATGAAAAAAACTCAATAAGATGTTTACAGGGTTCGTGCTACTCCTTGAAATCCTTGAAAAGTCCTTGAATTGAAAACACGTTTTTAAGGGCGCTTGAAAAGCTCTTGGAAATAGTGAAAAACGCCAAAACTCCTGGAATACTCCTTGAATTTAATGCAAACTTAATGTTATTTCTAACTTTCCTTTTAAAATAAATAACGATTAAAATTGATTGAAGAGTTTTCGTATATTTTGTAAATAGCCTAGCTGAATATCTGGGTACTCCTGGTAAGAATGCGTAAATTAAAGATCTATTTATCTAATAGGGTGACCAAAACTAATTTTACTACCTAATTTCAAAACAGTCTATTACAGAAGAATGACTTCAAGGAGTTGCGTGGTAGAAACGAAGAGCCGAGTTGAGAGCAAGAACCCTTAATGTGTTTACCATGTAAGAGCACACGTGCGTATCATGAAAGAGATGAAAACCACTTGAGCTCAATATGTTTGTCGCCGTCTACTGAATAATTTCCTCAATAGAAATGATAAACAACGCTCTATTTGATGCGTAAATATCATTATTACTCGCTGACTTATAAAGTGGGGCAATTAACATGGATAGTAGATTTTAGGGATTCGCAAAGTTCTAAATAAATAAAGCGTGTCTGGTTGGATAAACAACTTATTCAGAAAGGTTGCCGGATCAACGTGCCCTTACACGTGGTAACGATAACAGAATGCAGACCTAAAAAAACGTATTTCAACTCGATAGAAATAAATGAAGTCAGAAATCCTTTAACCAGTACAATATAATAGCGCTTTTCTTTAGTACTTTTTTGTATTATGGGTTTTTTGCTTGTTGTATATTAATGATTTCATTGACGCTAAAAAAAATTTGTTCTAACATAAAATTAGATATGCTCAGTTATCCAAATCCTAGAATCTTGATGGACTACGAAACGAAAGTTGACAACAATGTTTAGAATTTTTCTAATCGCAACATACAATATTTTATCGTTTTCGAGGTTGTACTATGGCCAACAAATTTGATTGTACAGACATACATGAGAAAAGGTTTCTTCGTAACAGTGGACGCGCGCTTTTGACACGATTTATAAGTTTGTTTGTACAGACATATATGAGACAAGGTTTCTTCGTAACACTGGACGCGCGCTTTTGACACGATTTATAAGTTTGTTTGTACAGACATATATGAGACAAGGTTTCTTCGTAACACTGGACACGCGCTTTTGACACGATTTATAAGTTTGTTTTCAACACGCCACGTTTGGTATCTTAAAATTCGGACTTGATTGCGAGGCTTTAGTCGTACTGTAGTCGTAGTCGTAGGATTATATTAGTAGTGTATATATTTATTTAGCTTTTTATCAGGTGAAGAGCCATCTTGTAAATACTTTGATAATAAACCATTATCATTAATTATTATTATTATTATTATTATTATTATTATTACTGTACTTCATTTAAAGTACAAATACGCGAGTAACAAATTCATTAGCAGGATTAAAATAATCACGAACATATACGACGTTCTTATACCGTTCGGCAATAATAAGAATGATAGTTCATTACTCAACTTGATAATCGAATCTACCACTCTATATCTACTGGTCTTTTTGAGGTTAAATGCAATTTTGAACATTTTATAGCGGAGAGCCTCGATATCGTGCTAGGATTTCAAGTATCTCGAACTTGGCCTATTGTCCTTAGTCCGTAAATTTACAAGGTCTTTCTTAAAAAATCACGCCACAACCGGAAATATCAAAAATAATTAAAAATACTTGTTTTTATTATTATTTTGCGGCAAAGGAAACTCTGACAGCGTCTGAAGTTCACGACTATACTTAAACAAGTAATTAGACCGACCCGAGGGGGTCGGACACGTTTCGCAGCATTTACGCAGGTTCACGTCACCGTATCGAAAGGCCGAGGTTAAAACGCGGTTGGTTTTAACAACGATAACATTATTCAGTTACTTTTTTTTTTCAAACATTGTTACGTTTTGAAGYTCAAGGCTGCGCCGATGAAAGTAACCTCGTGTACTGTAATCTTCCTGTCAAACACTTAATCGTGGTCTGGTGGCGCGATTAAGATGATTTTAGAAGATAATATAGGTAAGTTGTAGTGCTTGGGAACGAGGTTATTCCGGGCGAAAGCCCTTGGAATTAAATTCAGAAAAATTAATTTCCGACCTCGCTGGGATTCGAAAAGCACTACAACTTACCTATATTATCTTCTACTATTTCATTAGTGCCACGCGGTCCACATACTCTCATCATCTTAAGATGATTTTAGGTTTGTTTACAAGTGGTGAGCGATGCACGACCAATACTGTATGCTAATCCTTTGCCGATCCAAGGCAAAGGGAAGAGAGGAAAGGTTGAAAGTCGAGTCTTTTTCTGTGATTTTTCACTTGGATGATTTAATTAGAATACGTGTGCAGGGAACGTAACCGTGCGCAGCCTACAATGAACCATTCTCAAAATCAGTGTGTAATGAGGGTCACGCAAAAACACAAAAAAAATCCACTTTTCCAAAATTTCTCATTTGCAAGTCAGAGCTCCCAGGCTAAAATTTTCACTAATCATGTTTACATAGTCATAATCTAGTCATATTATCCTCAGTACTTCAATTATTTGGACTTTCAAAAATTGGGGCGTTTTCATCCAAGTGCCCCTTTAAGGCTAACCTAGGTAAATAGCTATCCATCCATCCGCATGCCACCTCTCCTTGAAACCCTACCTATCTTCCTCTACCCTCTCCTGTATCTTATCTCCATCCAGTCCAACTGCACATTCCTTCTCTGTATTATTCCATCTAATTTTTCCGACAAAAAATAAGATTTTTCTGATTTTATGCAGTTAAGACCAAACTTACCCTCACTTGATAAGCGTAGCCCCTGGCAACCTGATCAAAACCTCTTGATATGACGTCAATATTTCGCGCCAGTCTTGGACTCCTCGCCCATGATCCATTGCAAGCTAAATAGCTAGAATTTAATCTGTCTAATGTACAACCAGATGTTGCAGCGTGAATGGACTGCCATTGGTTTGGCTTGACCATCTTGATGAAGGCTTTCGATGATTCGTACGGGAAATAGAAGCCACATCCTAAAAGACAAAAAAAATCGTACTTGACTCACCGGATTTTAACACTCAAATGGCTTCCGTGTTCAAGCATTGTGATTGGACTATTATTTCCGGATTATTCATTGGTTTGCCATAGGAAGCCATTCAAGAGCCAAGGAACGGAAGCTGCTCCACTCAAAACCAACAAACCTGCACTACAATGTGAGGGGGACTTTTTTAAGCTTCTGTATAAGGAGCCTGTATATCTGGAATAGATTGATGCGGAAACTGGAAACCATAAGTACGTAATGTCAACCTTTACTGCTAGTAACTCTTATTTGCCATATTACGATGAACCTCAGTTGACTGAAATTTATTAATTATAATATATAGATATAAGTTTAATAAATGATAAATATGATAGGTTTTTTGTCCAAAAAGAGTATCTGTGAAAAACAAATTAACCCTAACCGTTATCCAAAAAATCTAAAAATAAAATAATAACTAACCCTTTCATTAGACAGTAATATAATACACTAATATTTCTTATCATATAAGTCATGTATGTATTCATTTCTTTATGTATATACAGCTATTTCAAAAAAACGTCATAGGCAATAGGAGATAGGCGAAAAGCGATAGGAGATAGGTCATACTAAGATCCAAGAATAGCTGGAATGACTTGTGTTTCTGCTTCTTATTCACGTTAAGAAGATGGATCTTCTGTTGATCTTCTATTGAAAATAGAGCTATATAAGTAATACATTTCTTTTAATTTAATTACAAAATCCAGAACTGAGCATATGTAAAGGAATGTGCATCCTTTTCGTGATGTGGCCCTACGTTTGGGGTTCAAAGATCAAGTAAGGCTGCGTTCACAATGTATGGTAGAGGGGGGGGGGGGGGGGGGAGGGGAAAAATGAAAAATTTGAAAAAACCAAATATTTTCTTAACACCCCCCCCCCCTTAAAGTTATGCAAAAAAATACGATCCCCCGAAGCAAGGCTTGTAGCTTCTTCCAAAAAAGTGCATCCCCTCATTTTTCTGATTAAAATTTGCCCATCCCCCCTCAATTTCACCTGCCCCCCCTCCTCAGCATCATTAAGGCATGGCTCTCAGATGAAAAACTGATTATCTATATCATAGCCAGTTTTCTACGAATCTTCCCCAAACTTGGCAAGTTCATGTCTTTTGTGAAAAGAAGGAACCTTAGAGCCTTGGTTACCATGGAAACTAAGTCACGTGACCACAAGGCCGCCATCTTGGATTTTTAAACAAGCCGTTTGTAAACGTACCGAATCATCTTTAAAAGTCATGAAAATGCTTATTACTATTCATATTTACAATGCCTATATGGATCTAATTGGATATCTTGGAAATTATTTTAACTTTAATTTTTAGAATATTTTCTATTTTTTCCAAAAAGTTAAAAATATTCTAAAAATTAAACTTAATATAATTTCCAAGATATCCAGTTAGATCCATATAGGTATTGCAAATATCAAAAGGAATATGTATTTTCAGGACTTTTGAAGTAGTTTCAATACGATTACAAACGATTTTTTTTTWAAATCCAAGATGGCGGCCTTGTGGTCACGTGACCTGGTTTCCATGGTAACAGATATGCAGTAATTGCTTGCCTTGAAGAATTACTACTACGAGCCAAATTTGGGAAAGATTCATAGTAAACTGTCAAAGATATGAATAAATAACTGATTTTCCATCACTTCCTCAAAAGAGCCATGCCTTAATGGTGCTGAGTCCCCCCCCCCCCGCCATACATTATGAACGCAGCCTAATATGGATTCATATAACACCACTACGAAACCAAGTCATGGTCAATGAGTACTTCACTTTGCTATTTTGATAATCCGACGCAGATAAAAGACATCTCAAGCTGTGTCAAAGATATACTGTTTCGCGAAATAATGTCCTGATTTTCTGTTCCTCATTCATGTTCTAGTAAAATTAATATGTCACTAGTACTGCAGTTCCCTATCCACAATCATCCCCCTCCCCCCAATGTACTATTATACAGCCAAGGGTGCCAAGAAAATCGTAGCCTCCTTTACAGCCGTTCTTAGGGTCGTTCTTAGGTCGACGACCCTAAGAACGGCTGCAAAGGAGGCTAAGAAAATCCTGATGGTAAATTCGTATTGACGAAAAAAAGGGATATCGAAGAGAAGGCTTTGCACACAGTTGCGCAAAAGAGCAAACCCTCGACCCTTCATCACACCTTCTTCAGATAAAGGAGAGACATTGAAAGACAGTGAGCAAGCTAATGTGATTACAGCAGACAATCTCTATGGATGTTACGTCACACGGAACACAAGTACTTTTAAGCTGTGGTCTTATCAAGTAAGCCGGTCAGGTAGATCTGCGGTGCGTGAACTAAGAAAAGGATCCAGTGCTTGTCGAGGGAAACTAGTCGTTTCCGCCGAGGAGCACGTGGTGGGTGGCAAAATTGAAAACGAGAACGAAAACCAATGTTTCTTGGCTTTTTTACTTCCGTACATTGTTGCTTTGGTGAAAGGAACCTGAATGATCGGCGTCTATCTGGCGACATTTGTTGGACCAATCATAACACACAATTTGATGATTTGAACCAATCACAGTACGCGAGAACCAGACACCTTCTTGAACCAATCAGAGCGTGTGAAAAGGGTATTTAAACCAATCAGAGCGAAATCCCGACATCTGCTGAACCAATCACAGCACACGACCTGAAGAATAAAAACATTTACCAATGGTATCCCAGCACTCGATCTGACGACATCTGTGGAACCAATCACAGCGTGTGAGGTCTCTACTTGTCCAATCAGAACGTCGCACCACGGCACGTCCGTATCGTACATGTTTTGCTGTCATGCTAACAGTGCTTTACCACGCATTTATGCATGACGTACACCACCAACTGGCGATATTCGCAATCTATAAGATCAACACTGAGAGATTCCTTCACGAAGTCCAATTACCCCGATCTTATATTTGTGATTACCTCGTTAATGTGTCGAGAAGTTCAAAGATAAAAGTTATGGTCACTTGAGATTAGAGAGGACTTACGTACTTTTATACGAACAAAAAAGTACTTAGGATTTTTGGAATGCTCATGTTTATTTTGGGGGAGGGGAGGGCAGGGTAACTTTTTCTATCAGATATGTCTATTTTTATGAAAAACTTTCGTTTTGAAATTAGAAATTACAAGCTACTTGTTTTGTTTGTTAATGTTATTTATTTATTTATTTTATCTATTTTATTTTTTTTTAGGTTTTAATTTTTGTCTTTCGTTCACTTTTAGTTTGTTAATGTTCCTGTATCTTGCAAAAATATTTTAATTAGACGCAAAAAGTAAAAAAAAAGGAAAATTCAGAGCTGGTCAAAACTTAAACAAGTTTTTCACATTATCTTTATTCAAAATAAACAGTTCGTAGTTCACCACATCAACCAGTGCGTTTGCCAAGACTGACTTTCATCTTTCGCGAACCAACTTATGAAGAAGACTTAATTCCACAGCTGCCTGCACAGCTTCAAGTCGAAACTACGTCATGTTTTATAATCAATTCAAACGCATGAAAACGAACCGTAAAGTCTTTTTTTTTTTTTAATCATGAACACCTCATGCGAAAGCCTAAGATCTACTGCTAAGAATTTGACCGATATAAAAACGTTCAAGTTCAATTTGTCCACGTTCTTCATTACTATACTAAAACATATGACGTTAGTTGTCATGCGTCTGAAATATTGGTTCAAGTACTAAGATCAGCGCTGCACTCTTGCTTTCGGCCTGGTTTGCTAATGATTACTATTGTGTCTACCTTAGTATAATTTTGACAATCGCGTTGCACCATCCTCGGGAACCCAGGAATAAAATTATGTCTTGGTGTTGTCCAAAAAGGAGGAGAGTAGAACAATAAAATCCGACTTTAAAAGAGCCTTAACTCTTCAGTTTACACGCAACACTTTAAAAGTACTTCATTCAACACAATACAAAACAGAACTACGGTGGATACTTTAGAGCCAGGCATYATAATTGCTCGTGTAAGTGTAGACTTGGCGCACGAACCAAACGTCAACGACAACGTGATTCGATGAAAGCCTAATCCTCTCAGTGTTCTGAGGATATTTGTTTTACAATTACGAAGTGCAGCCTGCGGGGGATCAAAAGTCTTATCTGATTGAAAATATYTTGTACAAAGTACACTTTAAAATCTTTTGAAACCTAACATGTACCCAAAACAAAAGAAAGACTTCTAAATTACATTCATATTSAATGCACATGTGGAAAGAGAATCGAAAATAAATCTCATGCACAACATTTGTTCAAAGAAAAAGTTCTCAAATTTACACGTAATGACAAAGACAACAAAAGTATCCAAAACCATGCGAGCAAATGAAATTGTTTTTGACCTCAGACTCGCTTTAGGATAAACACTATTAACGTTATTGGTCTTAATATAACATAATGATTTATTTACACGTAACAATACACTCCAGTGATGATATACTTAGAATACTGCCTACCTTCTCGTAGCCTCATCTCTTCGTTCCCAGTACATTTCCATCGGTTTTTGTGTAGAACCATTGTTCCTTTTAATGGAGAGCACTGGCATTTGCAAGGGTTGCTTGGGGTGCGTTCAAAACCCCCGTAAACAGCACATTTATTTCCCTGGTGTATATCAGTGCATCTAGATCTTGGTATGTTAAAACGATCTTTGTGGTACGAGTCCTTCACGATGACTTTTCGTATTATTATTAATTCGCATCTCACGCACTCAAGTCCTACCATCCAGCCTATAATAGCTAACCAACAAGAGCAGGACACCAACCACAGCTTTATGGGACCCGGCATTAGGTAGAAATTACCAAATCAGATAGCCTAGTAGAGTTAAGGAATGCAATTCTCTCGAGGTAGTCCAATATATTTTTACTTCACGCTTCGCCTCTCACGATCCTTTGAATTTATGCCGTCAATGATTTTCAACAAACTCGACAAGTTGTGCGATCCATTCATTTTGGCTCCTTACTCGTAGTGTCAGATCACTCCACGTCTTCATTTACCACCCTAAATCTCATACAAGGATTAGGTTTCCCAAAGAGTAAAGCAAAGTCCCTCCAGAACACTCGGATCCGAACTAGGCTTCTTACGTTTCGCTGTATAGGTCAAACACCCAGCATGACATAGTCGAACTAACGAACGGTAAATACCTCGAGAAATGTTTGCCTCTATAAGCCAGCACCAATCGAAGACACACTGTGATAATGATCCAAAGCCTTCCCAGATGGATTCGTTTGCTTGTAGAGGCAAGACAGACGAATATACCTAAAGACAGTAAGTGTAGATAAACAAACGACATACAACACTAGAAAACTCATCCAACATTCTGTCGTTATAGTACTTCTAATCCTTCACTAATTATGACGTTTAACTTCGATAATTAATGAACTAGATTTGAATTTCAAATTAATTTTCCAAAAAATGTCGGATGTCGGTTCACGATTTAAAAATAACTTATTTCTTATCCGAGGAATAATAACCTTTTTATTAATTTTTATTTTCAGTCTAAAACTAATTAAGTATTTGTTTGGTGATAACTAGTAGAATACTACCGTGGACTGCGTCGGTGTTTCTGAATAAAACAGCAGGRACTTGTGGATAAATTGAATCACCGTAAAAAGCTTTGTGAAACTGAAGTTTCGGACGTTAGTCCTTCGTCGGAGTAAGTAGAGTAAGTACTCCGACGTCAGTGCTTCACAAAGCTTTTTACGGTGATTCAATTTATCCTCAAGTTCCTGCTGTTCTAAATATTTGATTGATGATGATTGACGTCGTAAACAAATTCAAGAACTTGTTTCATTTTTTTTAGCCAGGGGGCCCCCCTACCCATGAATCCATGTCGCTCTCTGCATATGAACGCGAAGGACACACAGGATTCGTTTTCTCTTATGCCCAAACCGAGACTGGCAAATGTCTTGTCAATTGAAAACCAGTGCCGATTTGTCTCTCGTTTTTGGCGTTACGAAATCCAACGAAGTGGGTCGACATTGACCTTTGTGGCCAAGAGGAAAGGATTAGTAGTGGAATGATTGAGATCTGCTATTATCGCTTGCAATTATTACTAGAATACGTCTTAAGAAGATCTCAAGCTGCTTCTCCTGAGCCAAAGAATTTGATACTTTAGGAAGCAATGTTTGAAGTGCTGGACGTTTGGCCAAATTAGTAGGGAAAGAGCCGTTGTTGCAGATAAACAATGTACTACAAAGCCGATTTAAAAAAAAAAGTTTTTCCTTTTGAATCTGAAAGTGATTTTGTTTGGAATTGGATATGTGATTGGAGAAGAAGCTTAGTCAAATTACTTCCTTCACCTGGGTAAAAATAGCGAAGATTGAAATAAGTGATGAAAAACTATAGGAAGGATTTCCTATTTTTAAATGTTCTTTCATATCTATATATTTTTCTTATCACCTTATTTTTATGCTTTACGGAACGGTTCCGTTTTCTGCTCAGAGAGTCAGAGAGTCTCTTCAAACAGCTGGAACTAGCTACCTTAACTATAAACGCGCATGCTAAACATGTTAGCGTTCCTCTTGTCGTTTCCAAATTAATCTATTTAAAAGCTGATCACGTTTCTTGGATCATACTGAGCCAATAATAGAATAGAATTAGAAAAAAAAAAGAAGGCAACAGGAACCAATATTTGCTGCATAACCTTCAAATAATGGTTGACATAGCGGTAGTACACTCCCCTTTCACCTCTTTCATGGGACGTAACTCGAGTTCCATTTTGAAGTCGGCATCTCAAGTGAGTAGACATGTCCTGACTTTGATCAGCCCAGAGGTTATTTTAGGGTTCCCGGCATCTGGGAGTTAGCTGTGCCCTGACTTGGATCAGCCCAAAGACTGTCCTGGGTTTGATCTGTGAGTAACCATGATCTGACTTTGATCAGCCGAGAGGCTGTTTCGTACTTATGATCAACTGTGAGTTAATCATGCCCTGACTTAGATCAGCCCAGAGGTTGTTTCAGGGTTCAATCTGTGAGGTAGCCATACCCTGACTTATAATAGCCCAGAGGTTGTTTCAGGGTTCGATCTGTGACATAGCCGTGCTCTGACTTTGATTTTTTTCCAACATACCATCATCAAGAAGGCGGGAAGGTCATGGCGATAGCTACAACGGATAAACCTTGGATTTATCATCGCGATAGACAGTACAAACACGCCCAAATTATCGCAACGTTTCTTTTGATTTGATTAAAGTTTGATCTTGAGACGGAAATCTTTGAGATAATTCTTTAAATGAGATGTAAATCCATGGATTGTTGATTTGTTAATGAAGGTGATCCGACGTTGATCCGACGTTGATCCGACATGAAGACGAAAAAGGGACGCCATGGCCACGGGGGATAGGATTAATTTAACTAGGTCTGGCTCTGATGTGCTACGGAGGCGCGCGGCTCGCTCGTGTTCTGGGTACGTACGTGTTTTCATCTGTTTCAGATTCGTACTATCTTGTGTCGCCCCCTTTTCGTAATAAGAAATGAAGAAAGAAGTATTTTAAATTATTTTTGAAACTATTCAAATGCTTTTCGAAAATACTGAGCATCACATTGTTATCTGTAAGAGGAAATAAGCAAGCACGATTTAAAAGAGAAAGAGGAAGAAAATACAAGAAAAGACTGAGGAAAAGGAAAAAGAGGCAAAGCAAATGAGAGAGACGCAAGATGAAGCACACACTTTCATTTCGGTTGGTATTTGTCAAGTTTAGTTTTTGTAACAAGATGTTGCGAGTGAAGGGGTGGACTATGACACCTTGAGATTAAGTCTTCACTTAATGCCGATAAACTCGATATACAGGTCAACAGAGATTGTTCCTAACGAAAAAACGCTTGCGCATGCGTGCAGTTCAGCACGTCTTTCATGAAATCCAGAACGTTATGGATGCTCGTTTTTCTCAGCGGACCATAATACAAAGCGTTTAATTGCTAAACGTTTATTGGACAAAAAAACTGTGACAACTTAAAAGACATACAAAAGAATTCAACATTTGATAAAACATAACTGACTTTGAACATTTTGAGAATTTGTATGGAAAATTAATTTTGAATACACTACCGTAAAAATAGAGCTCTTTACCTTCGTCGTTTGTTTTCCCATTCCAGAACATGATGTTATGCCACTCCTCGGAGTTGATTCTTTCATGTATTAATATTTGAACATGTTCGTCATATAAGAACAATTCTCAGGATAACGTCACGTGGTCTGACATGGGCAATTTGCATAAGAAGGTAAAGAGGTATAACGATATCACGATCGAAGTCCTTTTCAAACAAATTTCACTGACAAACTAGGAGCATGCGCAGAATATTGTGGCAGCAAAACGTAGCCATCCATTGATTAATTATTAACTAATGCACGGATTAAATACTGTGTACGAGGATTATTGTCGAAGTCTCTTGGGTTCGTTTAGATGTATTTTATTCTGGAATCATGTTGTACACATCGTCGTGCTCGCTTCGAGCCGTGGTTTGCCTAGAAACTAATTTACATCATACCGATGTCCATATATGGGGTGCTATGACAATTATTAAATACGGTGTACGAGGATTAAACGTTTTGAAACTCAACTGACCTAGCTTCACCTCTAAGGAATATTAAAAACACATTTTTGATATTTCAAAACACATAAAAGGTACGATTTTCAAATCGGTTATTCCATGAATCCCCACCCCCTTCCCCCCAATCTAAGCACGATTTACAGTATATCCTATTTTTAAATACTAATTTCCATTCAATTCCTCTCAAAACCAAACCGCATGCAAAAACAAATCGGTAACATATCTGGTATCGATGCAAGGTCTGTATTATTTTTCGTTTGTACTCGCTTACCTCCAAGAATTCCCTGTCCTATTGCACTTTTACTGTCTTCACTTAGAACAAGCAGTCGATCGACTTCGTCCATTTGTTGTCAAGGAATCTCATCGATGAATAACTTGTGCTAATCTCATCCTATGGCTATATAACATACCATTCTGATATCGGTTTTATCTTTTTTGATTACTCTACGCAACGACTACTTCTTACCAAAGATAGTGGTTCTATAAAAAGAAGGCGCCCGGGCTATTTTCTCTCTGTCGTGTTTTAAAATTATTTTCGCTTTGTGCGGTCCGAAAAGGCTGGCGCTTGAAGATACTACTGCATTTGGCCTCGCATCATAGCATGCCGTATTACAGGAAAAAGGGTGACATCAGAGACCCAGTCTGCCGGGCAACATGTCTCAGCTTTTAAATGAGAAGCCATATTGTGGCAAGAATGGTTTTAGTATAAGTGTGTACGTATGGTCTGTTGTGAAGCTGTCACAAATTTTACAGAAATAACGATGTATGAGGGCATTGTGGCGTCGGCTCAAGGCGGTGCGCGTGGGGAATTTCAATCGAAAAGAACAGTCACTTAAGAGTTCGTTTTTTTGGTTTTTTTTTTAGTTCCTGTTTTAAAACTGATTCAGGCTATCTGTTGCGGTTGAAGCAACGCTTGATTATCTCTAAGAGCTTCTGATCTTTTTAAAACAGAAAAAGACTCATGGGATTAGTAAATGACTACTGATTGAAGCATTGACCTAATTGATATTAAAGTCTGGCTTGGTATATTTAACTGAAACTCATTTTGGGTGCTTGTAGAACGAATATTGGGCCTAAATTCAAGGATTATCTTTTTCTTCCACCCTTTTAATACCCTATTAAARGATAAACTGGGCTTAAAATTAAGAGAAACTAGTTGGAATCCAACAAAAAAAAAGCTTTTTCAATACTAATCCATTAAGTCTTGGATTATATTTCCTTCTAAACTGATTTCTTTGAAGGAGCCATTAGTGCTTTCTAAAAGATAATTTAGGGACCTTGCACAAGAAGCTAGTCCTAAGATCAGGCTTTTTACCGATAGGGCGGCCATCTTGAATCAGTTCTATTGCTTTAATCAAGACATTATGGAATGCCGAGGGAGCAAATATTGGAAATGTTGTAAAAAGCTTTAAAAAAGTAATTTTTTAAATTCTATTCTGTATAAGTTACACACAACAGACTTTCATTTCTTTATTAGTAATCCGTGCCATTGCACATACGGTTGAATTGAATGATATCCAGAAGTTTTCGCCAATTTATACATTAGCATAACCAACGCGTTTTTTAAAATACCATCTTACTTCTCGGAAGAATCTATAGAAGATAGCAAGAACGCTGTAAATTTCAATCGTGGCCTTTACCTCAAAACATTTGTTAATGGACTTTTTGAACAAAACAACACACCACACAAATAAATAACTTTAAATAGACCTCTTCGGCTTGGGGTAATGTTTTCCCATTTCAGACCACGTGTCATTCCCTTGAGAATAAGATTCTTTGTTTGAGCTGTATCCATATTCAGTATATCTTCTCATGTGCAACCGAGCGCAAACCTTAAACAAAAAAATAATACTCTAGGGAATGAAATGTGGTCTGAAATGGGAAAACATTACGTCAGAGCCGAAGAGGTCTATTGGTAGCTTCAATTGTAGAAATAATTTGAGCTTTGCACGAATCGGCGAAGAACTAAATTAATTTTTTTTCCGAGTAACCTTCGTTTCTAGTCATTAATACAAGCAGAAGCTGCAAAGCATGGTGGAAATCAATTTATATATATACATATAATACTATTATAACATAATAGAAATTACTATAAATCAACAATTATAGCCTTCATACGTTTATTCGGGTAAAATGTCTATGTATATTCTAATACTCGATACCGAATAAAAAAGTCTTTCTGTCTGTCTGTCTGTCTGTCTGTCTGTCTGTCTGTCTGTCTGTCTGTCTGTCTGTCTTATACAATACGGAAAATAGCAATTCCGACAAACAACAATCACTGTAAGATCTCATTTAGATCGGCTAAAAACTTTGACTCCGACAAGTTTCTTATGGATTTAGCAACACTCCCTTGGGATTGTTTGGATAATAAGGAAAGCTCGGATGACATGTGGGACAGATGGAAAGAGTTATTTCTCTCTTCTTGACTCGCACGCTCCGATCAAAACAAAACGAATAAGAAACAAGAAGTCTCCCTGGATGACAACTGATTTGAGGAAAGCTATGTACGATAGAGATAAAATGAAACAAAAAGCTACTCAAACAAATTCGAGGGACGACTGGAGTGATTATAAGTCTATTAGAAATCGCGTCAACAACGAGATAAAAAGAGCCAAGAAGTCATATTATGAAAATCATTTTGCACAAAATTCAAAAAACTCAAAGGAGGTCTGGAAAGCTATTAATGAAGTCCTCTCACGAAGGACTAAATCTGGCTCTTATGTAACATCTATCAAAACAGGTGATAAATCGATGAGTGACTCGAAGGAAATAGCTGAGGTATTCAATTGTCATTTTTCTGAAATTGGGACTAAATTAGCTTGTTTAATTCCCGATGGACCGACTGCTTATAATGATTATTTAATTAGAATTGGCTCAACATTCACCTTACGACACACATCAGTTGATGAACTTACGAAAATCATTAATTCTATTGACGTTAAAAAAGCAACAGGTCTTGACGGTATACCATCTCATTCCATCAAGATTGCTTCACCAGTAATAAGTCAATCACTAGTGAAGTTATTCAATCAATCAGTTGATAAAGGGATTTTTCCTAATGGCTTGAAACTTGCGAAAGTTACGCCAATTCATAAAGCTAATGACAAAGATGATTTGAATAATTACCGTCCCATTTCGGTCTTACCTACTATTGCTAAGATTTTCGAGAGAATAGTTTTTAACCAGTTATATGAGTATCTAAACTCAAATAATTTACTTTCTCAAAAGCAGTCGGGATTTAGACCGCTTCATTCGACTACTAC